GGCCCGCGGGCTCCACGCGCAGCTCGGCCGCCGCCATCTTCGCGTGCGCGCGCGGCGGCTCCTCCTCCTCCCTTCCCGGCGCGTCCGCTGAGCGCCTCGGGCCGCCCGGCTGCGCGGCGGTGATGAGGGCGGTAGCTGAAGAGGGAGTGCGGCGCGAGTGACGAAATCGAGGGCCGGAGAGGCGACCGGAAGGCTGGAGGGCGCGCGACGCGGCGCGGACTTGGTCTCTGGCCAGCCGGGCTCGGCCTCAGGGCGGGAGCCTGCCGCGGAGGGAGCGGGTGGGGCTTCTCCCGAGGCGGAGAGCGGAGCGGAGCCTCCGGGGAAACGTCGGGCTGCTGAGCTCGGCCAGGACGCACAGGTTTAAACAATGCACTTTTGTTTTTTCTTGTGTGAGAAACTGAAATGGTAAGGACCAAGGATGGTGGATATTGGGAAGTAGGACAAACGTGTTCAAATGAAAACAGAGGTTTTGTAAATTAGTAGAAGAGTTGTATCGTTAATATAAACAGTCCACCACTAACCCTTGCTTCTGCACACCCTGAAATAGTAATTTGCATCATCTGTAATCCCGTGGCCAGAATCCCTGAAATTCTTGCTGTTTTCTGAACTCATACAGTTACTTCAGAGGAATCTGCCATGGCAGTGGGTCGTTCTAGAAGATCTCTACATTCAAGGAAATTTGGCGACACAGAAGTTCATTATCCTGGGCATTATCCTGCTGAACACTGTTGGCTCATTTCCCAGAACCTTGAACTCTGTGAGTTGCCCAGTTGAGTGTTTGCCAAGACCTTTGTCCTAGTTTCAGGTGATAGCCAGAAGTTTGGAAGATTAACTCTTTCAAGAAGCCTACTTTCCATTTTGTTTGCTATCCAATAGGCATGAGCAGAGGGCTTGTCCTAGCATCTGTTGTGGAAAGTGAATTAAAGATTGACGTACAAAAGTCTTTTTCTGACATTGTCCTAGATTGGAGTTTGCAAGTCTTTTCTTAGGACATTGGGCAGTTTGATAAACTATGGAGCCCTGAGATTGGGGATAAATCTTGTCCTTTCAAATTTACTTCAGATTTTCCAGCTTTGAATTACAGTTTTTAGGAAAGAGTATTCCATATTTTTCCAGATGAAATAGGACTGGAAGAACCAAGAAGAATTTAGGCTGTAGCCTGGGCTGCAGGTAGATAATAATCCCAAAAAACAGGTGTGTTGAGGCCAGTGAGATAGCTCAGTGATCTAAGTGCCTGCCTCCTAAACTCAGGGACCCAAGTCACTATGATTCTGAGTTGCATAGTGAGAGCCTGTACCAAATACATAATTTTTTTAAAAAAAGTGTATTATAGTGAAAAGCCAATTTATTTGTAAAATGCACTTAGCTTTTTTTTTTTTTTTTAATTTGGCTTATTTACAGAAATGCACCAAGAAAAGTAAATGCTATACAGTAATCTCAGATTTATAAGCTTATCCAGACTAGAAAACAGGGAGACTTTGGATTTCCACTGCAGTACCACGTACCTAGAGATGCCCAGGCCTACTTTGAAGTGACACTTCTTTTTCATTCACTGTAACCCTGGAAACTCTTGAAATTAGTATTCTATGCATATTTTCAAATATGCAAAAGTGTGCAATGGTGTCCCATTATAAAGAGAACAGATTCTTACTGAGCTAATGCAAACAATCATATTGCTATAATAAAAATAAGGTTATTATGAGTACTTTTTCCAGGTTTTGTTTTCCTTTTTTAAGTTGGTTGATTCCTGCTGCTTGTTAGAGTGGTACAATAACAGCAGAGCCTTTCCTCAGTTTTAGTAAGAGGTGTAGTGCTCTGCAGCCATTCCACAGAAAGACAGAACAGAAAGTACTTCCTTATCTCAGTATTTTGAAAAAACAGATGCTAAGTCTTTAAATAGCAAAGGCCATTTCTTTTCTTTCTTTCTTTTTTTTGACAAATTTTTATTGAAGGCAACTTAGAGAAGTGTTGTTAAAAGCTTGTTCTCTTTGATGTGTATTAGTGATGCAGAACTGTGAGATTCATTGTAGATTAGGCCTGTACATGGGTACACTGTGTTCTGGTTACTTTTATCTCCACCTCTCCCTTTCTTTCCCTCACCCTCTCTCACTGGTCCTCTTTCCCCTCTCTATAAGTCTACCTACTAAGGAAACTTGTTCCTCAGAGTAAGTGTTCTTAGCACTTCACAGAAGGGTTTGGCGTTTTGTGGCCTCACTACCATAAAAAGCATTTAGGAGACCTATATGTGCTAGGCATGCACTGAGCTATACTCTATACTCTAAAGATCCAACATTTTAACTAAGAAGCAGAAACACCCTATATTCATGTTATATTTTATCAGTTCTTTCATTTTTGTGTGTTATTTGATTTGCATTAGTAATTGCAAAACCCATCACTTTTATACTAGAGCTCTAGGAATTTTTAGTCTGTTAGTCTTGAAGCTGTCGGAATGTACTTTTGTCTTTTCCATGACCCTCACTTCAAATGTTTTTGGAGGATTTTCAAGGTGTGAATGACAGTAGACTTGGCTAAGGTTGCCATGAGAGTTCTGCAATTGATAGATAATTTCAGTTTTCTTACTGCATAAGCATTTGAAGGCAGTTGACGCCAAATTTTTATACGTCTCAGGGCTGGTGAGATAGCTCAGCAAACTAAGCACCTGCGTAGGCAAGCTCAAGGAGCAGAGATTGATCCTCTGTACCTCGTGCCCTGCAGGCCCTGACCCCCGGACATGCTGAGCAGGGACCAAATCTGGATGTGGTGGTGCATGCCTGTAATTCCAGTGCTGGAGAGGCTGAAAACAGTAGGATCAATATAAGTTACGGCTGCATAGCAAGACCCCTGTACAAGATACACAAATAATAATAAGGAATTTCTGTACATTTCATGTAACTTGTAGAAGATTCATATGAATTACTCCTCAATAGGAACATAACTTAAAGCATATATAGCATCATTTTATTATTTTACAACATTTTCCCTACAATCCATTGTATCAAGTAAGCCTAATGAGTTTATTATCTGTAGAACATGAGAAATACATTCTTTGAGGATCTTCAGGGGCCCAACTGGGAACTCTCAATGTCCAAAGGCTTCCTTGGGAACTTAGGTCCCGAGGAAGCCTACCAAATATCTCAAAGGCCTTGAAACATTCAATTAAAGGATTACACATTACTGGATTTATAATCATTTAACCAGAGTGACTTAAGCAAGTTATAATCCAGATGTAACCAGGGTTATAAATGATTAGAATACATCAAAAGCAAATAGATGCTTTAAGAAAACCTAGTTCTTTTAATGCTCATTTACCCAAGTAACCAAACACCTATGGAGATACTAGAAATCATAAATAAGCTTCACAAAAAATGGACATTTCCTAATGCAGTTACCAAGAGAGAGAGAAATCCCCTCGACCGTCACTGCTTGTACTTACCAGACCTGCTCAGACAACTTTCCACCAGACCTGAATGTATTTGGACACAGGCAGAGTGTGTCCGGGTTATGACTGACACCTTAGAAAGTAAGCAAGAAAACAAGGACATTGAGCAGGGATGCAGGAGTCTTGGGAATGGAGAAGCACTTGAAATTGGCTCCAACAAACAATTCAGATGCACAGAGGCAAGCTAAGAGTAAGGACCAAGCCGGCCTAGCCTTCCAGTAAGTGTGTGTGCTGTCAGCCTCAGTTGGTGAGTTGGAGCTGGGGAGAAGGAAGAGAGCTTTGAGGATAAGGGTGAGAACAGCCGTGAATGGAAAGTCCAATTCCCAAGATTGGTTTAAAAACCCCTCAAATTTCAGGAATACCAAAACTTGTAGAAGTTTTATTTATTTATTTATTTTTAGTTTAGTGTTTTTTATTTCCTTTTTTTTTAATAGAAGTTTTAAAAAGTAGAATATACTAGTTTATAGATTGCTGTTTAGGTCAATAGTATTCATTGCTTTAGTTTTAGAGTGAGACAGCCTGGAATGCAGTCTTAGGCCCATCTGATGATCATGATACAATTAGGAACACATGCACAAAAAATATATATATAAAAGCATACAAAATTTTATTTTGCAAGACGCCAGTATGGTAAGGTGTCTTCCTAAACTTTGATTTTGAAATGATTATACACTTGGGTAAGCATAGTTGCATTTTACATACAAAGAAATAAAAAATAATTAGCATTTGACTTTTCTCTCATTGCTGAGACAAAATACCCAACACCCAAAGTTATGGCATAAAAGATTTATTTAGCTCACTGTTTGTGGGTGCTTGAGTTCATACTCAACTGGCTTCCAGGCAAAGGGGCAACTGGCTCGTGTGACAAAGGGGCAACAGTTCATGGCAGTGGAGGACAGTCAAAGCAACCAGAGAAAAGTTGGGGGGGAGACCAATGCCCCTTTCCTCCCATATATTGTAAACCCACCCAGGGTGGGGCAAGTGTAGCACTCACACCATCTCCCTGTCCTCATACAGGCTCAGGATCTTTACAAAGTGAGGACCCTGGCCCTCTGATGAGTCAGTTAAACTTCTCAAGTTGACACAATGAATCAATCATTACAACATCATGAAGCACAAACAGCAGCCCCAGGACATGTTCTCTACACCCTGTAGACTGCTGAGTTACTTAGTTAAGCTTCTAAACTTCTCAGGTTGACCTGTACCAACC